AGGGATTGACTCTATGAATTGAGAAAACAGAGCACAGTATTTTGCATAAACGTCTTGAAACTACAGCAGAGGTTCTTTGCTGCGTGTGTGCGTGCCCACACACCCATGAACAGCGTATACAGCAATGTTTAGAAATTCTAGGATGTCCTAGTTCTGTGAATGAAACAGCTGGCATCACTGGTTTTACTATAACATTATTAACATCATGGCTTAATACGTTAGACAGCGTCACATACTGATTCCAGACAGCTACGTCAGTGATGGTGAACCTTCTGGGGCTTTCAATGATACAAACAGCCCACGACAGCACACGTGCCATAGGTTCGCCACCACTGAATTAGGGCACCTTGCAGCCTGGACCCATGTGCTAACCGTGAAATGTTAGTTACCAAAAGCACCTTGTGAGAAAGAAAACTGGTTCCCTCTGTCCTCGGAGGGGTCACATTCCCCTAACCATGTGGACACCAAGAGGCTTGGCTACAGCCCCCAGTGAGGCCAGACTGGCCTTGGGAAGCTCATGACATTGTCAATACTCTAGGAAAGCAGAACTCACACTCTAAAATGATGGAGCTCAGGATTATGAGAACTGCTAGTTATTTAAATAAAGTGTTTCTTAATTTTTGAAGATAATTTGTATCCATACTGGAGAATGACTAGGAGATTCCCAATAGTCCCAACAGAAACAGAAGGTGGGATTCCAACCCTGGGGGTGGTGAGGTTCTATTAGTGTAGCCAAGGATCAGCTTTACGCAGCTATGTTTTATCGTTACTCTGGGCTATTTGAAAATGTAAAGCATTTTGCTTTACAATTCTTGCCAAAAGCCATCCTTAAGTACTATCTTACTTAAAATGGACAGAGTAGAAGTTAGCTCTCTGCCTAGGTTGATTCCATACAGGGGTATTTTATTTGCTCTGTGAAAAGGGGTGAGGTGGGGAAGGATGGCACAGAAATAATCCAGTGGGACAGATCTAAAGGTCTCCATGCTTCCTGCCCTCATTATTTTCTATTCCTTTACTTACACAATCATTTTTTACTTTATAATGCAGCTTTCTAGCTCATAAATATAAGCACACAAGCCCTCACCCACCTGCTCTGCTATGCTTTCCCCATCCACATGTGTTTGACTACAAGATAGTAACAGAAATAAATTTATAATCCGTTACTCAAGTGTTCTCATAAATTCATACTGAGTTATTAAAACCATAAAAAAAAACTACAATGGCATTAATTACTGACAGGAAATTAGCCTGGCATGCTGGCACATGCCTGTAATCCCAGCACCTGAGAGAGAGGCTGAGGCAGGAGGATCCATGTGAGGTCAAGGCCAGTCTGAAGCACATAGCCAGACCTTCTACACACACTCAAACACACACACACACACACACACACACACACACACACGGAAAATAAAAGACAATCCACTGCAAGGTACATTCAAAAATAAAATCATTTAGCAAGCTCAAATTGCTGCTAAAATACTGAATTTTTAAAAAATCACATAACTTGGGGTTCCTACTCAAAATTATTCTTGATTCCATTCTTTAAAGATTATAGGATGCAAACTGAGTTGGATATCTTTAAGATCTGAAAGCCATTAGAACTAATTAAGACGAATTTGGCTTTGTTCTTTAACTTCCTGTAAAAATACTCAACAGGAAAATTGATGCTCGCAGTAAACCACAGCCATCCTGTTTCTTCAGCAGGTCTTTTCGCAGCTGCACATGCCCGTCCTTTCTGTTTTGTGAGAGTCACTGCAATACTCCTCCTCCCCCAAGGAAGCATGTCTTGCCTGGAGGTTCATAAACTCTTAGTATCTTTGCAGACAAGCCTGTTGCTCCTCCCGCTGCTTCTCCTCTCCTCAGTTTGAAGGTCCCTGCTCAGAGCAGGGAGGCCATCTGAACAAAAGAGAAAAGAGGAGGCAGCAGGACCCACGAGGAAGCAGAACAGGAAGACAAGCTGCTTTCCTTCCTACGCAAACCAAGCGCCTCCCCTCGGATTGCTGGTGCTCTCCACGTGCCCACAGGGCCCCCAGGCCTGCTGTGTGTGGAGTCCCTCATTTCTCAAAGTGAACTTGCTCTTTTCCTGGCTACACAAGATGTGCTCCTCTTAGAGCTTTTATTAAGGTTGATTTATTTAGGGGAAGGGTGGAGAAGGCATTTTTCAAAGAATGTTTTGCATTGGTGGCACCAGGGATTGAAATCAAGGCCTTCACACTGAGCTACATCCCCAGCCTCACCCCTCCCTTTAAAAAAACTTTCTTGGAGCTAGGCTCTTGCTCGGTTGCCAAATTGCCCAATTTTAATCTAAGAGTAACTACAATGGGAATTAGGGTTAATATGCAGTATTTTAATGTGCTAATGATATGTATTTAAAGTTTAATACAAATTTATGGCCATAAAGACCCTTTTGGTAGTGAAAAATGAAGCTTAGATGAGTGACTCACCTACCTGTCATTAAATTAAGGAACCAGAGGGGAAACTTTTAAAGTGTCAGTTTTCCTCCCACTATCTCCTATCTACTCAAAGAATTCTGTTTTAGTGGCTTAAATGCCAAAGGTGACATTTTCCTAAACTGTCAGCACCATACTTAGTTGACCCAGAAGAGTAAGATTTGTCCCTGTTCGCAGGTACACACACATATGTATATACATACACCACCACACCTGATATGAAGACATCTTAATTAGAAATTAATCATCTTACAGATATTTACTGTTGTTGTGATAATTGAAGCACTGGTAGTCCCATATTCCCAGGACCAGAAAAGGACCTCAAGAACTTGTATGGTTTATCATGTTGACATTAGACTGCAATTAGTGAAAAAATTCTTGAAATTCAGAAAACATCTTCCATCCCCAGCTGTCAGATGGCCTGGAGCACATTACTTAGCTTCTTGAAGTCTAGTTCTGCAATTAAATGGAGATTATAATAGTACTGCACCTACTTAATAGGGTTATAGAAAAGTTAAATGAGGCAGTGCTTAATACTATTAGCCATTTGTTAAAAATTAAATAAGTAAAAGCAAAGTGTACAGCATATACTGCATGGTCAGTACATGTTGCCATTGTTCCCCTATTTAGCCATGAGAAAGAGAAAACACAGGTGACTTAATCCCCAGCCTGCACGCGTCCACCCATGCAAGCCTCTGCTCCACAAACGGAAGGAGCGCGAGCATAAAGTACGGCTTTAGTTTCTCAGAAAAGTGCATGTATGGAGACATTTCTTCTTCTAGCTTTTTTTCAGTTTTAATTTTCAGGACTGAGTCACAGAACAGAGACAAAGGTATTTATGACACTGGACAGAAATGTTTTTTGCAAAAGAGGCACATTATGACAATTGGAAAGTCAACACAAGTCAAAAACATAACTGTATTACAAGTGAAAAGCACAGAAACCTCCAAAGTAAATGATATATTCATTAACTGTTAAGCAGATTTCACAAAGGCATAAAGGCGAAGGGTCCAAGAATTGGGGAGCTCATTCCCCTTATGTCTAAGCACAGGTTGGCAGGCCAGGTCTAGAATGCGATTTCCTTCATTATCAGGGCAAAACAGCTGCTGGAATCCAGGGAATAATGTTTAGCATGGGAGCTTTTCTGAATATTCCATCTCCCCCAAGAGTAGGCATCAACCTTCAAAGTGTAGATAGCTGCAGTTAGACTAGCGGAAGAGCTGTGAGCAAGCACCCTATGCACCCACTGATAAACTTCCAAAGAACATTAGAAAAGCTGGCTGTGAGGTAAGGTAAACCATCCGGTGATGGCAAAACTTCAGGAGCTTTCAATGATACAAGAGCCCACTGCAGCATGAGTGACCCTCTGCAGACCTTAATAAGGAAAGTTTTGACATCACATTATAATTCAGAAGAAACAAAATGGTACGAAGCTAACACGTAATACTCTAAGCCACATGCTCCAAGTGAACCCTAACAGTAGGGTTCCATACTAACAGACCCCAAGCCCTCTCCCAGCTTCCTGTCCTCCTTTCTGACCATCCTGTCTTAGTCTTTTCCTGCCACTAGACTTTCTTTCTACAGCTGTCCTATTATTCTTTAACTACAGTATTTCTGCAGTCTTTTCCTCATCTCTATTTTGTACTATACACACTACAAAATGTATTTTGCCCTGTACATATTGCCAATTGTATTTTCCCATTACATTATTGAAAATAATTTGTGCTTATCTGACTCAAGTTGTACATGCTGCCCTGGTTTTTTAAGCCTTTATTGAATATTTTTCTAAGGAGAAAAAAGGAATGTAAATCAAGCTACTTTTCCCACATATCCTAGAGAATTTTTTTAAAATATAAAACATTTCCTTAATCCTTCTGTATGGGTCTCTGAGTACATCTTGAAAATTTAAATTATCATATTTATGCCAAAATTTAATCATAGTAAACGTAAACAGAATTTGATTTACAATAGCAATGTACTACCGTTCTTCAGTGAGCCCAGAATTATTCTAAAACACCATCTGTCTTCTTCCTAGCATACTCTGCTTAGAAATGGTTTAGTTTGGGAGTTGAATTTAACACATCTACAGCAATAGGACAAAATGGTTTTGTTCCAAGTACAGTGCTTGATACTTTGGTCTGAAGCAGCCAAAGATTCTTTCTACTTTAAAATATTACTCTTGCTAGTCAAACTAAAGGTAGCTGTGTGCACACCCATACCTTATGCCAAGGCCTCCTGGTCTGAGCTCCATCTAAGATGGGAAAGTAGAAAAAGAAATTTATACGGAACCAAATTTGTTCAATGGCCAAAATGTTGCTTAGATCTTAACTCAAATTCTACCTAAAATGTTGCTTAGATCTTAACTCAAAACACAAGCTATGACACACTCATAATTACTATAGTGGACAATAGGACTAAATCACATGATTTTTCTAACTAAAAAATTATCTAACTTTATCTCACCATGCCATGGTTCATCAAAAGTCCTCTTTAGTTCCTCCTTCTCTCTGATAAAAGAAATAAATTTAGCTTGAATACAATTTTTCTTACCGTTAGAGGGAACTATAAGAAGGCATGATCAGGGACACAGGCTGACAGAGAGCAAGCGAGACACGAGCCAAGAGACAGATTCATTCCTGAGAAAGGCATCATCTTCTAAGACATACGTGGGGTCGTTTCTGGGCAGCCATTTTGGACAAGCTGCGGCCTCTTCTTCAGTGTGACACACTGAGTCAGAGGCAGACGTCCTTCTGTGGTATTCGCTTCCTGTCTGATTAATTTGTTGTTTGTTCCTTCCTCCTTTGCTTCAGAAAAAGAAACTAGGTTGCTTTTACTTGAGAAGCAAAGAAAAAAAATCTAAATAAAAAAATTAAATGTTTTTCCCACAAGGTATAAATAATATAGCCATTTGGTGTGGTTGCAACAGGAGTGCAGTAGCACCTCTATCCAGGTAACAGTCTAACTGTATGTTAAACACCTCTCCATAAAAACATAATTGTGTATGGGACTTGAGATTCCTCCAAAAGGATTCTATATGAAAGCACCACTCACTTCTGACTTTTCCACTTAGTAATAAGGAGAAGAGTCACTCAAGAAATAAAAGCTCTTGAGTACGCTGGTAATGAGTCTGAGTGATCCTTCCTCATTTACCGAGCAAGCGTTCAAGTGTGTGGGGAGAAAGTTACAAATGCAGGTGAAGAAAGCAGCTCAGGTGGATGAAGGCAAATGAGTCTGCAATGTGGTTTGTGTGCCTAAGTCAGAAGAGATGATACACAGCCCAAGTCAGCTGAGGATTCACAGCTCCCCAAACCAACACATTTGCTTTCTGCCCTCCCAACTTAATGGGGTATCAATAACTGTCCCAGGGGAGGCTTGACAAAAGCCTACAGGAAGTGAGGCCAGAAGGCAGAGTTAGACTTTCCCCTTTAATGGTCTCTACGAGGTGGGTGGCAATGGAATATAGGTGGGCAACACCATGTCAGAATTCTGACTTATGTACAGTATAGAACAATCTGAAAATGCTATTTTTTTCTTGACACATGTAAAGATTTATTTAGACTTATAACTGTAATGTATGCAATGTAACTCTGAGAAGTATACTGCTGGGAGAGTGAAAACAGAAGCATATTTTAAAAACTAACTTTACTGTAAAGTGTGCTGATTGGTTCCTGATTCTGCTGGGCTCAGAGCAGAGAGGCACATGAAGACCTGATGTCAGCAAGCCTTCCCTTACCTGTAGATGTCTGCACTGGGCACACCCCAGCGTTCTCAACTCAGGCTGTGGCTGGAAATTTGCAGAAGCAGTTTGAACTGAAGAAATTTGTGGGGAACAGTGGGTGGGATGGTAGAAGGGCGGGGATTCAGTGGGCGTTGACTGCGACACAGTGCCTAGAACACCAGAAGAGCTCCTACAGAGGAGTACCAGGGTAGATGATGTCTAAAATTCTTTCCAATTCTAGATTCTCTGAGATCTGAATTGAACTGCATAAGCAGCATCTCATGTCATGGACACACTTCCTGAAAGTGGACTGTGCAAATACTGCTAGTCCCCAGAAGTAGCAGTATTATTAGAATGTCCCCTACTGTATGTGGAGCCACTTGAAGGGCTGCATTCCTAACAGAGGGCTTAGAATCCCAAAGACAATTAATATGTGAATAAATACAACATGAGTTTGTTTAAAGAGGCAAAGCCGTGTAGCTATCATGTTCTTTTCCCTCTGCAAACTAGTGACACAAGAGAGAATCCGATAAATTCTAAATGCCTGAGTGAATCTTCTAGGGGAAGTCTAATTATAGTTGGGTCTAAAAAGAGAACATGGGTCATATGACAATTTTTCTATGTATTTACAAAATTATTTTTGAAGTTTGCTAAACGAAGCAACACACACTCATACACACACACATGGTGCATGCACACATGCATGCAGATACTCAGTACACTGTTAGTGACAGCTCAGTAAGCAAGTAGCGGGTCACCTAGAAGGCAGGAGCGGCAAGAATGCAAGCTAGCAGTTGTAAAGAGTCTGAGTCTAGTCCAGTGATGGCAAACCTTCTGGAGTTCTCAGTGGTAACATACAGCCTGCTGCAGCACGTGTGGTGTAGGCACACCACCGCCGGTCTAGTCCATCTTTAATGAAAATGTGTGAATGCAGTCAACATTACTAGGATGTTGACTAGTAACACCCCTAGGAATCTGTTATGCAAAGAGGACATGAATTGGACAGCGCTTCCTCTCTGCTTACCCCCTCCACTCTCTTCTCACTTCACTGAAATAGGCCAAATGCTTTGTCTTGGGTCCACGAGGACCCACACAATATGCCTCCCTAGTGCTCTCACTTCACCCTAATGTTCCTAACGTCCCCCTTGCCATTTTACTTCTCAGCCCTTTGTGTTCTAACTGCACCAGGCTCATTTGCATCTTGCAAGTCCTCCTGCCTAGGACACTCCACTCTTGCTTCCTTCATGCTCTTTAAATGTCAGAAAAAAAAAAAAAAAAAAGTCCCATCTCTCCTGTTCTCTTTATAGCACATGTCACCATTTGACATTTATTTGTATGTCTCTCTCTACCAGGGTTCAAGCTCCACAAGAGCCGGAAGTATGTCTGTCTTGTCTCCTATTGTTGCCTCAGCATCTAATATAATATACCATCTAACACCTGCTAGGTGCTCAATAAACAATGCTTAAGAAAATCAGTATCTCAGGCCAGGAAGACAGCTTAGTAGCACAAGTGCTTACCTGGGAGTTCAAGGTCTTGCACCTCCTGAAATAATTCCAAGATTAGACATAAGCCTTGTTTGAAAAAGTTGTTATAGGGTTATTTTCTAGAGGAAAGGTCAGTGGTGCCAGAATCTAGGCTTCTGTTCCATGGTGCACTGCCATTACTGCTGAGATCTCGTGTTAGGGTCAGCAGGGTGATGTCACCCCACTTCATATGCAGGTAGGTAAGACACGCTAACCAGGTGGGCTAACAGTGTGTTCAAAGTCATGTGGCATGAGTGACTTATATCATTGAACAGTGGAAGGACTGGGGTGTGGGAGAAAAACAGATTAATAAAGTTAAAACAAACCAATCAGAAAGCAAGGAGAGGAAAGAAAACAAAAAGGGAAACAGGGTAGGAACAGGTGGAGACACACAAGATCACATAGCAGGCTGGAGCAGGTTCCTGCCACATGGCTGAGCTCAGTGGCCTGGAGTGCTACCTCTGCAGTGGCTGGCACACAGGTATTGGATACTCCAGTGCTTTCTGCTCTTACAGTGGAAAGTGGTATTCCTGGGTCAATCTCAGCTTTCCCACAGGCAAGTTCTTCAGAAAAGAGACCACAGAGATGAACGCCCATCTTATCATTTACAGATGAGGAAACTGGTCCTGAGAACTGGAGGCAGCAATCTACCCCTTCACCACACAAATGCCAGCGACACAATGGTGCCAGAACCCAGCTCCTGCTCCATGGCGCAGCGCCATGACTGCTGAGCCCTCATGTTAGGGTCAGCAGGATGCTGTCACCCAACCCACATGCAGAAGAGGCTGAAAGAAGAGGAATAAGAAGCATAAGCAGAGATTAAGACTTGCAGATGACAAGCACAATTCTGGACCTGAAAAATTTTGAAATGGCTGCACCTCCCCCACCCAATACATACATCAGTCTGCTCATAATAGGTAAAACAGTAATTAGTAGACCCATATACCAACTAGGGAATGAAGCTTCCATATTAATCTACAGAAATAAAAACCAAGAGCAGACAAAAGATTGGAACCCAACACTGTAGGTCTCAACAGTCTTGGGAAAGCAGTAAAAAACCCCACAGCCAACAACCTTCCTGCAGTGGCCCAAACCCACCTACCAAGTCAGTGCAAGAGACACAGGTATAAAATATGAGGACATGCTTTTTTTTTTTTTTTTTTTTTTTTTAATAATTCTGGCTTAAGAGACTGGGTTTCCATGACAACTTGTTATAGTGTAATGCTGTTTGCCTTGATAATGCAAAAATGTCTGTAATCCTGTATTCCCTCAAATCTAAAACACCTTCCTTAAAAGCAAAAAAGACCCTCTTAGAGCTCTGTAGGGGAAGAAAAGAATCTACTTTCAAAATGTTAAAATATGGACTGGAAGTATAGGGCAGTGGTATAGAACTTGCCTAGCACACTTGTAGTCTCGCTGTCCATCCCAGCACTGCCAGAGAGGAGGTGGGAGGGAGGGGAGTGGGGGGGGGGAAGAAAAAGAGAGGGGGGAGGAGAAAGGGCAAGAGAAGGAGAGAGGGAGAGGGGGAGAGAGGGAGACAGCCAGGCAGACAGAGAGAGATGGAGAGGACAGGAGGGAGTTAAGATAGTGGAACTGTGTGATTCAACAGAACAGATGCAAAGGAAATAATCTTTGGTCCCACATAATTATCATTACAGTTACATGGAGGGGTGATTATTTAAAACTAACCTAAAAAACATAAAGGAATTAAAAATAAATTGTATAGTATTCCATGACCTATCAACAGAAACTGGCATAATTTTACTGGAGGGGAAATATGCAATTATTTCACCCTCTTTGTCCTTTTGTTTTGAGTATGACTAATCTCCCTAACTGGCTAGCTGAGGAAGACTAGTTCCGGTTCTCTTGAGCTAGAAGCAGGTAATCTTTGTTGAGTGACAGCAGACTTGCCGGTTATGCTGCCACCTATTGAGCCTGTAGCTTAAGGCCTTGGGCCTGCTGGGGGCACCATGAAAGTATTCCACACAGGGCAAGACTCAGCTTTGTAACCAACATGCAAGAGTGAAATGATCTGGTCAAATAATAATCAATTAACTTCATGAGGGAACCCCAATTTTTCCTCCTAGGGTAACATCAGAGAAAGGTGGGACACGATGGTAAAAAACATCAGGAAACAAGTCTGGAGCACAGATACCGAAGCCTCACGGTTTCACTAAAGGCATTCTGATCCGTTCTGTCTCATCTGAAGCTAGAAGGAGTTACTTTTAAAACTCTGACACTGGGATCCATCCCCTGAACCACAAGTAAATGATCAAATATCAAATGAAGAGCTTGCATTGGGGCTAGACTGAGCTGTTGTTTGTTTTTAGTTACTGGGGACTGAACTCTAGCTACACCCCTATCGCTTTTTAATTTATAGTTTGAGACAGGGTCTCCCAAGTTGCTCAGCCTGGGTTTACACCTGTGATCCTTCTGCCTCAGCAACAGAAGGGTGTGTGTGGGCTGAAGGTAATTTATTACACGG